GTGTGTGTGTGTGTGTGTGTTATATCACCTTTGAACCCCATTTTGAACTCGTTAACTGGCCTGTTTAAGATTACAGATCTTGCATCGGTCAAGCACTGACACAGTAACACTTGTATTCTTGTATACATGTGGATGTTTGTTCATACTGAGTTACATGTGATGTGAGGATTAAGATATTGGATACTCATGTGTTTTATGCAAGTCTCGCGGCTCACAGGACCACACTAGCTATCACGTGGTCCACATTACTGCGTAGAATAAACTGTATTGGACGACTGTAATTCTTTTCTCTTGGATGTTATTATTATTATTATTGTCATTATTATTTTTATTATTATTAGTCATTAATATTTTATTATTGTTGATATTATTATTATTATTACATTATTGGTTTGGTTATTATTAATTTTCCTTTATTATTATTATTATTATTATTATTATTATTATTATTATTTTATTCATCTTCCCGGGTGTGGACGACAACGATCAATTGTGTGTGGGGGAGGAGTGTCAGTCAAAGCCCCTTGGACAAAAACCTTCCCTTCATAATTGCAAAGTAGGACAAAGACCCTCACTTAAAGTGAAAAATAGGTTAGGTTAGGTCAGGTCACGCACTTGCTATTTTATTCTGGCTACCGCCAGACGATTTTATTCATAAGAACATAAGAAAATAAGGAGTCTGCAATAGGCCGGTTGGCCTGTGCATGGCAGCTCCTGTCGAGAGTGTAGTGGACGTCTTCCCTACAACTGCATAGCCACAGCCACCACCTGCTACTGCCTTCCCTAGCAACCAACCAGATGTTACCGTATCTTAGCAACGAAACTAGTCACCGGCGACTTTCTGGGTTTTCCCAACATGATTCATAGAGGACTGGCGGCTGCTGCTGGGTATATAAGCTCTGTCTCTCCATTGAGATTCATTCAGCCATTCTTCTTGGACAGCAACACCTCCTCCTCCTCGCCGCTGCCTGGCTGCCTTCCTTCTCCTCGCCTGCCTGGCGGCCTCGCTCGCCAGCGAGCATGGCGACCCACCAGCTGTCCTTCTCTGAGCTTCCTCACCAACCAACTCTCATTCTGCCCATCTTCCTGAACAAGCAACACCTCCTCCAGCAAGCTCACGCTGTCAGCATTCATTCAACCAGGAGGCCAGCAACAGGCAACATCTTCTCTAACGAAGCTCCTGCACATCTACCTCCTTCAACACGCTACTCACCGAACGTCTCTACTGAGCAGCTCCTCACCACACGGCACCTCCAGCACCAGACTGTCTATCATATAACTTATATTATATAAGAAAACCACATTAGAGTTTCCTTCCATCCTGGGTGCTAGACAACATTAATATCTCGATACCCCTACAAGAGTTACTACCACTCTCTATCATCCATGAATCTATCTAACCTCCCTTTAAAACTTTCCAGCGTTCCAGCACTTACAAAAGTTTCTAAGCTTGTTCCACTCGTCAACCAATCTATTTGTGAACCGGTTCCTTCTTATCTCCCTCCTAAACCTAAACTTATCCAACTTAAATACGCTGCTACTAATCCTATCCTGCTCGGATATTATAAGAACGTTATCCTTTATTGATTCCTTCCACCCTCCTAAATACCTCTATCATATATCCCCGCACTCTTCGTCTTTCTAGGGAATCCAAATCTAGTTTCTTTAATTTATCTTGATATGGAAGGTTTCTAAGTCCCTGAATCATTATCGTCATTCTTTGCTGCACCGACTCCAGTGAATTGATATCCATTCTATAATAAGGGCACCAGAACTGAACAGCATAATCTAGGTGCGGCCTGACTAACTCAAGATATAGTTGCAATATGACCTCCGCACTCTTAATACTTACACTTGTAGATATAAAACCTATTACTCTGTCTGCCTTATTTCGAACATTAACGCACTGTTTTCTAGGCCGTAGGTCCGGGCTTACAAGTACCTAGGCTCTTTCACAAGTCAACTTCTCTAGGTTGATGTTAATGCTGTATTCATTGACATGGCTACCTGTGGTGTAATGGTCAGCATGCTCGACTCGCAAGCTATCGGACCCGGGTTCGATCCCCGGGCAGGGTGAAACTATGGGCAAGTTTCTTTACGCACTTTGCCTCTGACTACCCAGCTGTAATTGGGAACCTGAATGTTAATCGATATGCGGTTCGTGTTCCGGGGTAATGGTTAGCCGGGGCAGTTGGCGAGTTATCCGGTTTTCTCGGACTATTCCTTGACACGGACATGCAGCTCGTTAACTTAGGGTGTGGTTGGCGACAACTTCTACACCTTAAACAAATTCACGCCTAGGTGGCCCTTGGGTCGGCCATCCTCGTTACACGAGGGGCAACCATTATACAGTGACAGTATTTGTTCTTCCAATATTAAGTACGCTGTGAAAGGGTTAAAACCTATCTTGATTAAAGAATAAAATAATGATATAAAATTGTTATTATTTGTGTAAAAAATTATGAGAAACTGCTGATTTTATTATGAAACTTAAACAAAGGCTGACATAATGGTGCTTAAAGAACCCTGTCAATTGTATATTTGGATCCGATGTTGAGTATAGGCTGTTATCTTCGATATTTCCTGAAGTAAAAGTTTGTTAATTTTTTTGGATTTCAATAAGACTGTGTTTACATTTGATCAGATGCCTTCAACAACCTAATATTTAGTGAATGAGATTCTTGCTTAATACTTAGTCATTGTGGGTCCTTAAATAGTTGTGTCCAAACATTTAAATCCCTATTAATAGCGGATTTCAGTTGAACGTGGTATTGAACGTTTTTACATGCATTGAGCAACTTGGCTAATGAGCGAGATTCTTGCATACCAATTATGTGTTCTGCCTCTGACTGACTGAATTTCGAAATAATTTGGAAGATTTATTAAGCAGAGGATTATTATGAAAGTCTTTCAAATGTACTCGCCTCTGGATTCTTAATTAATGGGACTTAACGCTTAACGGATCACCTGAAGATTAGGCATCCCATCCTTCACCATACTATTAAGCCTTCTAAAGATACTTGTGGGTTAGGTTAGATTGGGTTTGCGTTAGGATGGATTAACGTAAAGTGAAATAAGCTGGGGCTAATCTTCAAGTGGTCTGGCTAAGTTTTACCCAGCAAAGGAGACATGAGGTTAGGCTAGCGTTAGGGTTATTTATCTTATTTTTTTTTTTTTTTTTTTTTTTACGGGGAATAGCCACCCGGGCACAGGTCATCAGCCCACAGGGTCTAGGGAGCGGAAAAAAATAAGAGTAAAAACAAATTATAAATAGAAAAGGAAAAGATTATATTAATCTGCACCACGAAGATGCCGGAAAACCATCTTTTTTTAATGAGACCGATTGTATGAGTACGGAAACAGAAGATGGCAGAGCATTCCACAGTTTGGCTGTGTGAGGAAAGAAGGATGTACTCTAACGGGTTATTCTAGTGTGACCGACATCCACAGAGAAACGGTGGACACCGCGGGCAAGACGGGTGTTACAGCCCACGGCCTGCCGGCGGTACACAGGATGCCAAATCCACCGAACATTGCGTTAAAGTACCTGTACCTGTAAGGTGAGAGAGGAAAGCAACATTGCGGCGAAGAGAAAGGGAAGAAAGATTATCAACTAAAGGAGGAGAGTTAATAAGACGAAATACCGTTAATTCCACCCTATCTAACAGTTGGACAGAAGAGCCACCCCAGATATGAGAGCAGTACTCCAAGTTACGACGAATGAATCCCTTATACTGTATACTGTACTTGAAGCAACTGCTCAGGAGTGAAGTAAGGGTTGGGGAGTTGGAGAGTTTAAATCAGGTGATACATCTAAGACTTTTCTGTAATGAAAACATGAGAACAGAGACTTACGATGGCTCACTAAACCTACCCTGCACGTATCTATTTCTTATTATATCTCTTTGAAAATGTAGGCCCCCTAGTGTATGTCAATGGGGGAGACGAGGGAGCTGTCGAAGGTAGGGAGGAGAAGTTTGAGGAGGCTGGGGAAGGAGGCGGGGAGACTGATGAGAGGAGGGACGGGGGGAAGAAGATAGGTGAAAGCAAGTAGCAGTAGCCAACTACAGTATATCCTCTAACACAACAAACTTTATCATGCATGCCTCCCTGCAACACAGTTTATGGGTCATGTGTAGGGTAGGTTAGGTTTTGTTTGGTTTGGTAAGGTTAGGTTGGGTTAGGTTTAGTTGGGTTAGTGAATTCTACTTACCATAATTCTCACTAGGATACCGGCTTATCTCAGTAAAAATCATCATTTACAACTAGTGCACTGTACACACGATCAAAAAGGTATGTGTGCACATTAGGTCCGATGATTTCTTAAATGATCAGTACACCTTATGTTGCAACATAACTTACCAACATGAATCATGCTAAACAGTGTTCGCAAGTTTAATCTATTTTCTTTTGAATGTGCATATAATAACAATACTTACTGTGGATAAAACAGGAAATGTTGCTAGCAAGCGATATTGGCATTTTGCAATATCCATCGTCTGTGGTGTCAATGTTTCGCGTGAAATGTGCACAGATACGTTTTTATCATGTTTATATCTACAAGAATCCCATCGACATCTGGCGGTGAATGTGACAACTCAAGTTTTAATTGTTCTAATTTTTATAGTTTATATGTCATTATGATAAGTTATGTCTTTTGTAAGGGTCAATCTCACTTATGAAACAAAATTACAAAGACGTGCATAAGATAATTTTGGTGCTGCTATAGCGTACGGTCAAAAAGATATTTAGGTAGGTTAGGGTTGTCCTCAAGAGTTGAAATCTCTTTTTATTTCAAGTTTTCAAGACAAATAAAAGTTTGTGTACCCTTTTTATGAATTAGTTTCATGTGTCTTTTACTTAATGAACTAAAAACGGGATATTTGATTCCTGGAACACGGCTGAGGTCAATGTTCCTTGGAGTCACTTAAAAATAGTGTTAGTATGTTGTAAACTTTTTTTTTAACCCTTGAATTAATTAATTAATTAATGTGTTTCAGGAGAAGAACAGCTTCCTCAACTACAACGTGTCTTGCATCATGACCCTTCCACCCTACCAGCGTCAAGGTTTCGGTAGACTCCTCATCGACTTTAGTGAGTACTTCCACCCTCTACACCCCTGTCTCTTTCTATCTCTCTCACAGTTCTTCAGTTTGGGATTCTGTAAGATGGGGCAAGTATGATTACATAATACATAGGTGTGTGTGTGTGTGTGTGTGTGTGTGTGTGTGTGTGTGTGTGTGTGTGTGTGTGTGTGTGTGTGCGTGCGTGCGTGCGTGCGTGTGTGTGACCGACTGATGCACCATGTATAGAGGCATGCAGTGCATGCGTGTTGAAAGGCATGCGTTTGTGTTGCTACAAGCAAAGGGGCTTGCGGACGGCAAGCAGGTATGCGGAATGGGTGGCTGACAGGATGGATGAGGGTAGATAACAGGTGGGTGAATGGGTGAGGAACAGGTAGGTGGCAAGCTTTTAGGGTGGGTGGATACCGGGTGGGTGGCAGGCAGAGTGGGTGAGGTTAGTGACTCTGGTACGGCTGTTGCATCACACCGCCCACACCCAACTATCACAAGGTCGAGGCAGTCAACCCTCCTCCAGAACCAGTTCCTCAACTTCCCTCCCTCCCTCCCCTGTGTACAAATGACTAGATTTACCGGGGTTTAAGGACATTTCATGCATATTTAGTTTGGTTTTATTAAATATAAGTTGGATTCCTGTGATATCTAGGATTGGTTTATTTCGTATTAATGACGTTTATGTATCTATAATGGATTTAGAATCTTTTAGGAATATTTCTGCCAAAGTTTGAGTCAAAATTTATTACGTTTTAGGGACTTTCGTGTTCTAGATCGAACTAAGTTGGTCTTCCTCCACGTTTTGGACAGAAATCAGTATTAAATCCGGGGGGGGGGGGGTGTTAGTGGCTTAAAACTGTGGCTTGGTGACCTGTGGTAATGCTGTTGTGTGGTATCAATCTTGGGCATGTTAGTTCATCGGTGATCTGCGTCTTCTGTGGGTATTATTTATTACGTAAACCTAATCTAGGAAAAGTATCGGTAGCTCTGTGTATATGAAGGTGAGATTAAAGTCGATTAGGGAGATAGAGTACGCAATTGTTCGTATATAAAAAATCTGATATGAGAAATCTGAGCTTGTCCACGACTCCACGCATACAACAAGGAACAAAAATTGTGCGTCATAGAGGAAAGGGCAACCGAGAGTCGTATGTCGTGGAAGAAAATGTAACGTGCATCTTGGATTCTACTTGGAAAATTGGTTGAGAGTAATTTTAACTGGGTCAAAAAAGCGTACATTGTAGAATAAGAGGCCGAATCAATCGTCCTGGAAGTAAAGAAAAAATACAATCACAAGAAAAGGAGGCGGAGCCAACCATCCTAGAAGTAAAAGACCCGAAACGCCTTACAGGGAAAATTGGCTAAGTTGATCGTCCTGGCAGAAGAAAAGTGGTGGGGTTTTGACCGAGGCCGCTCCCACGGGTGTTGGTGCCAAGTGTGAGGGTCACCAGGTGCTCAGCCTCCGGCCCTGCATTCTCACAGATTCCTACGTTGTTTTTCACCGTCATTTGGGATAAGAGAAGGCATCTAATAGTGATAAAGTGTCAGTGCATTTTCAGTACCATTAACTTGCTGACATCAATGTCCAGCAGTTCATATGAGCCAGTTTGGTGCATTCCAACATCTCCAGGTGCGGAATAATTTAACGCAAGTATCTTTTAGAATCGGGCTGCTGGGTGTGGAGAGGTAGACGTTTTTATTGTTACTCCCTTAACTATTATTATGAGTAGTAGTAGCAGTGCAGCTGTTACATCGTATATCTTTGGGCATTTTCGTTGGTTTGCAAAAGATGGTCGGGGTGGTGGGTGACGGATGTAGCGTGAAGGGTCAAGTATATGTACCCAGCACCATGCCCTTCCCCCCCCCCCCCCCCCCCCCCCTAACGGTACGATGCTTTCCTACTTTGTCTCCTTTTTGTGTGGTTTATCAGTACTTCTCATCGCCCCTCGTCTGTACGGTCCATCCAGTCTTTTGTCGATGCTTTGGTTCCATAATCCACTCCCTGGGTCTACATTGTTGGAGGTTCTTACGATGAATGTTCCTTTTGACTTTACTAGAGCAAAAAATTGTGTCAATAATTAATATCAAAATTACACTGAAACTATTTATAACTATATACCTTCACTTAGTACCAGCTGCGAAACAGAAATAAACACATTTGCCGTGAACACATGGTGATTTAGGAACATACTGATCGATGACGTCGTGAACATTTTGTGATGTGAACATGCAATGATTTGAATATACTGTGACTTTCCAAACCCATACTCGGTAGTCTGTGTACACTAAAATGCAATTGAATTTTCACATTTTTTACCTCACAAATTAATAGAATAATTGTACTGTTTAGGGGCTTGTCTATCATTATGTTGAATGAATATGTACTTATATACTTATTAAAAGTAGTCACGATATCTAGTGTACATTACATTTCAGCACCTTTTGTAACGTGGCCTATTCTGTTGGTAACCGTTGTGGTGGTAGTTCCTTTCCTAAAACATTTGTTAAACCTGAGTGTTTATTATGTATGGAAGGTCTTTAGGAGTGAATGATCCGTAGAGGTTTTTGTTTAGTTCTTGCGTAACGTTTTGCATCTGTGTGACCTTGAGCTGTTTCCCTAATGTTTTCAGGTTCGTCCGTTAAATTAGTTTCCTTTCCTCCTGGCTCACCTGAACTATGATGAGACAAAGATGATGGCCATAAGACAGACACTCAAGAAATACAAGACTAAACACTAGTCTTATGTGTTCTCTCATCTCCAGCCAAGTAGCAAACAATAACGTACTCAAATGTTTGAGAATCCGAATGCAGGTTGCATAGCACCATACAAGATGTGAACAAATCCGCTTCCCTCCTTACGTAACCGTGAAGTGTGTATGCTTGTAGGGGCTGATTTGTTGCCAATATGTAACTCGGTGGGATGGTTACTTAACTATAGTCATAGCTAGTCGTGCGTTACGGCCACATGTTGAGATTAGTCGTGTCGGGAAGCAGCCAAGAAATATAATTGTTGAACTGGAAAGAGTTGCAGCTGTCCCGATCCGCGCGTGACGTCGCTTGTTCTTGGTTCACACCGAGTGAAAAACACATGTGGAGTGTTGGGTGGCTGGCTAGATCATTAGCACTTGTAATTACCCTTTGTGGTAGTTATATACTGTAAGGAAATAAATAATAAGAAAGGAAGATATTTTTATTAATAAATCACAAAGATTTAATTCCATATTCCTTATTACCATTTGAAGTATGTCAGAAGCAATATCATAAACCAAAGGATTCCGAGAGAATCTTTTTATATACTGTACTGTCTATACTTTTTCTCAATTTTTTTTTCAACTTTTTATGACTGGAGGGTTTGAGTGCGGTACGCTTCCAGCAGTTCTTGACACTACTACTACTGTAGGAATTACTCAAAAGGGATTTTTTGGTTTGTGTGTAGTGACTTGAGTGAATCAGTGAAAATTTTCCCGTCAGTGAATGAGCGAGCTAGTGAGTTACGGACAAACCTGCCGGCACAACAGACGTTTAGGAAAGAAAATAATATTCAAATATACACTGAAGACTCGAGACTGTTCACTTCGTTTGGTATTGTATGAGATGGGAGGTACATATATAATAAAAAATAGCTGTTTCCATTGTCTTTTGTTCCAATTTTCCCAAATTTGTGCAGTATACAGTACAGTACCAGCCAGTTCGGCTGGTTGATGTAGACAAGAATTGTGTGTACTTTATATGAAAATATATTTCAAGAGATTCGGCTCTTCAAATATATATTTTACTAGTATTAGTAAACTGACCAGAGCCCCGATTTTCGGCGGGACAGTCCTGCTTTTTAAATATGCATCCTGCTTTCAAAACTCTCAAGTACCCCCGAAAATTTCCCGCCTTTGGAGCAAATGTTAATATATGTCCCACTCTATTGGAATTACTGCCAGTTTGTACAGTTACATTTTTTTCTTTCTTTTTTTGCTACGTTACGTTCTTGAACAAGTGTTTGGGTATTGAATGCTGATCTCCCTAGGTGGAGCCCGACTGTCACTGTCTGTCTGATTCTAATAACCATTCTATACCGGGACCGTACGTGTACTACACACGGCCACAGAGACGGCAGCCATATAGTTGCCATTTTAGTAATTTTCCGCCGCCGTTAGTGAAAATTTCTGAGCATTGTAAGCCTTGAAATTATCGAGAATTATTATTTATTGTTTTGTTTTTTTTCATCTATACTGTTCGAGTAGAACTGAAAGAGTTTTGTGATTTTATGTACATTGAATATAAGCAGTTCTGGAGTACAGTAAAATAAGATGGTTGGCATTAATGCCTGCAGTTAAAGGAATACTTAAAGTTGTTTCTTGGCTTTAGATCATATTGTCTGAGTCAAAGAAAGTGTCCAATAATACTGAAAAACTTTTTTTGAAAACCCATGTGCAGAAATTTGGCAAAACTTTTTGCATTGTCAAGCAGCCATCTTCCAAGTAATTTGAAAGATTGAGGGTGAAAAAATGTCAGCTGTGGAAGTATTGAGTGCAGTTTATGATTTGAAGCAAAATCAGTCGGTAAAGAAAGGTAATGCCACTCTCTGTTAGGGGGCTAATGAACAAACTGTAAAGAAAATAATAATAGGAGTTTTATGACGTGTGCATGGTCGGGTTACTTGCAAAACCTTGAGCATATGCAGTAGGCCTCATGAAAACAAGTTCCAAAGTGGTGAGATGTTGAGAAAACAATTGATTTTGTTGAAAAACTTTTTTTTTCCGAAAATTTAATACTGAGTTATATGATGAGTTTACGTGTGTTGCAAAGTACATTAATGATGAGAAAGTATCACTGGAATGAATCCAGGTTAACCAACAGCCTAGCGCTGGGTAGAACTACGTATTCACGCATTTCAAAGACATCAGTCACCAACGCATGTCCAAATTGGTTCATTTCTTAGTCTGTTTTCAAATGAATAACATGTGGACATCTGAAGAAAAGAAAACATCTTAAATTCCCAATCCTCAAAGCCTAAATGGTAACTAAGATAAGTGTCAATAAAACTTGTCCGGAGTTCTACAATATGCTGAAATCCACTCCAGAGCTACTGAAGATCTGAGGCGTCCGGCATCGTAAGGTGCATTCAGACCAACCGGGCAAAACCAGTTTTTTGTTGGAAAGCACAATTTTCGGCCTAGCTCTGTGCGATGGTAGTTAACAAGGTTGAAAGCCCTTTGAAAATAGGGTAGAACATCGATTTGTGGCAGACAGGAAATTATGAGCTTGGCTTTCGTGTCATAAGGTACTCTCATCCCGTCAGTGAGTGAGTGAGAGGAGCGGCCGGCCACTCACAGCAGCTAGCCTGCAGCCTCCAGCCCCCCCGTCTACTATCCATGTCACGGCCCCTCCAGTGGGCAGGATCTACACTGATATGATTAAAGTAAAAAAAGCCATAAGCGGGTGGGAGTTTTGTTGCTTCAAGTCAACATTGCAACAACCCAGTACATTACTTCATGATGCGCTACCTACCATCTGCAAGTACACTCTTTAGCTTTAAAATGTATCAAAAATGAATGTTGTATCTCAAAAAAAAAGTTATGCGTGTTTGAAGTTGGAAAAACCTTATAAACGGTTTTCTCAGTTTAAAATTTTGGCGTGAATAACCCATACGATGTGGGGCGCCTCACCTCATTTAGTAAAAAGTACAAGAATTGAAACATAAGCACGATATTCCTGATATTCCTGTGCATTCGGAAGCCAACCTAAGACTAAAGTTGTAAGTCAAATAGTAATTTTCATAACATTACCCCAGAGGTGTATCACTTGATGTTAGCCAAATATTTTATTATTATTATTATTATTATTATTATTATTATTATTATTATTATTATTATTATTATTATTATTATTCATGAGATGTCCCGCTTTCAGCTCCAGGGAGTCTGGTCACCTAAATAATTAGTCATATTGTGGTGAGTCATTTGAATTCTCTCTTAGTAGCTTTTTCCAGAAAAACCTCTTTCAGGTTGCATAAATACAATTTACTAGTACACTACTGTATTTAGGTCGTATGTGTAGGGTGGTTATTGCCACCCTTATAAAAATATCTGGTCTTGAGAACTTGTTGCCACTAAACGAATCACTGGAATTTTATAGTTCCAACCAGTAATTTGGACAATTCTAAGACACTTTTCTTCAATGCCATTTCTGGCACAAATTGCGTATAAGCGAGATATTTAACATTCCATCGTGTATGAAAATTTACCTTTCACTGGCTGCCACTAAACGAATCTCGTGAATTTTATGTTTTTCAAGGAAGTTATGATTTTTACATTTTTCCAGTAACTTAAGATTTCCTATGGAAATGAAGGTCAAATTTGCCGGAAACACCCTAAAATAAACCAGAAAAATAGGTTTTCATGTAGACAATTTGACCTGCAGGGGATTGGGGCATTCATGTCACCTTATCGCACTGAGGTGTGTTGATCTGTGTATTGCAGGTTACCTCTTGACGAAGAACGAAGGAAAGATTGGGTCACCTGAGAAGCCTCTGAGTGACCTGGGTCTCATCTCCTACCGCTCCTACTGGAAGGACCTGCTCCTCAACTATCTGGCCAGCTACACAGAAAAGAACGTCTACATCAAAGGTCAGTTTCTAGTTGGGATGAAGTGGTGTGCATGTTTTGGGGGGATGGTAATACCGTAGTCATTTTTCATGATTTTGTAGTTTGATACTTTGCTAGTATTGTGGGGTTTGTTATCAGGGAGAGCTATTGTACATTACACTATTAAATGCATGGAATATGTTGGGATATATGTTTAGTACTGTACAGTACATTATTTCTAAGAATATGTAAATGTATGTATGTAAATTAAGACTGTATTTTGGTGACTTAAGCTGATTTGAATTGAAATTTTACAAACCACTGCATTACTGAGAGTGGTAGTGCCAGTAGAATGTGTTTTGATTGTACAATATGTAATGCATGACAAATGTGAGAATGAAACTTGTTTTTGATAAAGAAACATTGATATGTATTTTGTATGTACTCTCTTATATTGTACAGTAGTTGTAGCCAAATGATAACCTTTCCCTCTCTCCTTGATACAGATATGAGTACAGAGATGGCAGTGAATGCATATGATATAGTGAGCACCTTCCAGGCCATGGGAATGATGAAATATTGGAAAGGAAAACACATACTTCTTAAAAGACAGGTTTGTTGACATCAGATTTTTCTGAATGCCTAATTCTAAATTTCTCCTTCGAAGAATTATGCTTGATAGCGTGTTACTCCAGTCTGTCCATCCATATGAAATATAATTTTCATTCAATAACTTAAACAGGGGCAGATCCAGGAATATCAAAAGGGGGAGTCCAAGAAGTTGTGGGTGGGGAAACATGGTGAGCGCATGGAGCCCACCCAGCTGGGGTTTTGAGGGAGCTCTGTAAGACCCCTCAGAAGATTTTTTTAAATCTAATCAATATCATAGGCATTTTGAAGCCACACGCATTTTATATTGGGAGGTATTCTGCAGTCAATAGTAAATACTTTTTACTACACAAAAATGCCTGAGTACAATACAGTACTGCATTTAAGAAAAAGTATTGGAATTTTCTGGTGAAAAGGGGGGGTCTGGACCCCCAGAAACTCCCCCCCTCCCCCAAATCCACCCTTGTTAAGAAAGGCTTTTTGGATCAAAATTATATTTGGTGTGCAGCTTCTTGATAATATAGTACATGTAATCACTGTTTTCCATCTTTAGTTGTAAGAAGCGTTATAACCCCCCCCCCTCCTTTTTTTTTTTCTATTTTAATAATTTTATTCAAATAAAATATGACTGACTCAACTACTGTAACTACAGTATTGAGTACAATACTGTTATTATGCAGGTTGACAATCCCTTATTCGAAATCCTTGGGGTCAGAGGCATTTCGGATTTCGGAATTTTTTGGTTTTCAGAATGGTTAGGTTTTTTTTTTTTTTTTAGCCCACCCGGACATAGATCACTGACCCACATCAGGGCCTGGGGGGCGAAAATATAATAAAAAAGTATACAGTAATAATAATAATAATAATAATAATAATAATAATTCATAGGTCTAGGTCGTGTTTCTCACTTTTGATCTTTTTTTCATTCTTGTATTTCTTTATTATTATTATTATTATTATTTTATTTTGGTGTATTTTTATTAAAAATTTTATTTACTATGAATAATTATTATAATTATTATTACTATTACATTTTCGCCCCCCAGGCCCTGATGTGGGTCAGTGATCTATGCTCGGGTGGGCTAATCCCTGTTAAAAATAAATAAAAATAAAATAAAATAATAAATAAAAATTGCCCCCCCAAAAAACTTTCGGTTTTCAGAGCTTTTCGGTTTTTGGAATTTTGGATAAAGGGTTGTCAACCTGTATATGTAATTGTACAGTACAGCATTTAAGATTAAAGCAGGTTCTGTACTGCATTTACAAAATTATTCCTGAATAACCCACATTAGAGAAGTTATTTAGCATGTTTATATTTATTTTTACAAGAAAAGTGCCAGAAATATGTGAAGAAATTGATATCATTATTGTAAATATAAATGATAAACCAAGTCGTAATGGAAGATGTGATTTCTTTAATTGCTTGCCACAGTCTTTATTCTGAAACTTTTGTTCCCTTCAGGACTTACTGGAGGAGTTCTTAGAGCGACAGAAACGAAGGCGAGCAGACTACAAGGAGATCGACCCTAAATGCCTCAATTGGCGCCCTTATGTTCCTCCACCACCCTCTGAAGAATCTCAGTCCAACAGTAACAAAAACAAGACTGTCGCTGCAAACAAAGCAGCTGCTGACCGCAAGAAAGCTCAAGCAGCTTCTGCAGTGCAATAACATAGACTATCATACGATATCTTATGAAATGTATGTACAGTTACAGGTACATGGGTTTGTCTAATTAAAATTCTGTGGATCATGATGACAACAAAGGATAATAAACAGTAATCCCTCGCCAACGGTTTACTATCTGCAGTCTAAGTAACCATGTTTTATAAAATGTACACTACACCGTTTTACCAACCACGGTATCTTGTTTTAACTATGAATGGCTTTTCATAGCAACCGTGGGAGATTTCTAGCTTAACATGGTGGGACTGCAGGGATAGTGACTCTAACCCTGTGATTATCTTTGTGGTGTTGCTCTCAATACACTACACTCTTTCGTCTTTTGCCCTGAAATATGGGATGAAAGTGTACATGTAGGTGATGTGAGTAGTGCTACTTCAGAGACAGCAAAGAAAGTAATGCAATGGAACAGAAATTGGAATTGCTCGATTCATATGCATGTGGTTAAAGTGTAGCAGCATCCATCTGCAGGCATTTTCACATTAAGGAGTGGGATCTATAAAGAAATATGAAGATACCATTTGGGTTAATGTGGTGGGAAGTGCACCAAAGAGTGCAAAAGTGACTTATATTCCCCCATGATCCTTGCCTAACAAAAGCAGATTAAGTACTCTCTCTCTGGATTGAAGGAGGTATGCAGCATGAAACAACATTGCTAGCGGAAGCATCAAGGCCAGGCGAGCAGTGTTAAGGAGGTTGCACCTTTACACAGTTTTTTAGGTTTTCTAATACCTGTACAGTGTACTGTAAAGTATTTTTATACAGTATAATAAAAAAAATTCAGTGCAGCATACACTTTGTACTTATTTTTAATCTTGAGCTGTATAATATATTACTGTACAGTACTTTAGGTATGTCTCTTAAGGGGTCACTTCTGTCAATCCCCGATTTCCCATTAGGCTCAACCCCTGCCAACCATAATATTTTATTGTCAATAATGGGAGAATTTTGAAACATAACCTTTGCAGTTGGCGAGGGATTACTGCACAGTACCTGCATGGCATGAGTGTCTTATAGTGACTTTTGTGGCAACAATTAATTTGAACACTGAACTGAAAATATGCGCAATGGACTAAATGCTCTATTTTCAGTTTGTGTCAGCTCAGTAAGGTGCTGTGACTTATTATGGCTCTCAAACTCAGTCATCTGATAATTATTATTATTATTATATATATATATATATATATATATATATATATATATATATATATATATATATATATATATATATATATATATATATATATATATATATATATATATATATATATATATATATATATATATATATATATATATATATATATATATATATATATATATATATAATAATCATCATCATCTCCACACTTTAGCTGACTCAGTATGGATCAAAAACTTAAAATTTTCATTAGTCAATTTCACTGGTAAAAAGTGTTTGACAACAACATGCATAGAATGTTTACAAGTACAGTCAGGATGAAAAATTCGCTCTCTTCCAAAAGGAAGCAGCATCGACTCATTCCTGTGACTCGGTTTCACCGCGGGAGTGAACTTTTGTCTGGGACTGTACAGTGGAGTCGCGATAATTCGTGGGTTAGGTACTATGTATTATAGTTTAATTGATTTAAATGGAAATATTTAGTTATATTCCAGAGGCAAAAAAATACACAAAATATTTCAAAACTGCTTCAATAAACACTAAATATTGTACATAATACATATGGAAATACAGATATTGTACAAAAAGAATTTCTGTATTACATAAACAGTTCCTTCCCTTATAATCATCCTCTGGGTGACACCAATACTGTACTTCAACATCAAGACAGGTATGGGTGCTGACTGTCTGGCAAGTTTATTGTTTACACCATGTAAAGAAAACACAGGAAATTTGATATGACTCAATAACTCATTTAGGGTTGAGTGTGGGATTTATTGGAAGAAGATTTATTATTTGACGATTATGTTTTATTAGCCTGGCATCAAGTGAACCTATAAAATAGGGGAATTATGGTGAAATTGCACACTGTTGTTGTAACAGGGTGATAGAGTTTCCCAAAAGAGAGAAGGGATTGAGATGATTTTTATATTACTTTTCCTTATTTCTAAGTCACATTAGAGTATTGAAATGTTTCCACAACTTTTATTGTTTCTTATTTGAAGAAACAGTGCTCAGCCACGAAATAGGTATAAATGACTGTGGAAAAAAATAGATAGTAATTGAGGTACAGTACCCACAAAATTTAAGAATGTGAATTATCGCAACTCCACTGTATGTATGTTTCATGTACAGTGGTGTGAAAAAAAAAAGATTAACACTTCCTTGGACGAGTAATTTTAGCTTGCTGACTTACGATGCCCATGATGCTGTGAATAGAGAAACAGTTCTGGTGATATGAGTCCATCTGTGAAATAATTTACAAATATTGTTTTCTCCTTTATATTTTTTTACAGTTGCTATCATCATAAAAATGACCTTATGAACATATTGACTACAGTACAGTATTTGATAATGCTTTACAGTATTTTTACCCGCAATTTCATAGGTGCTTTTTGAAAAGGGACGCATTGAAATAAAGAAATAGTGGAGCCAAAATACACTTTCAGCTTCTCTGTAAATATATTTGACAGCAGATTATGGTGAACAAACAAATAGTGTAAAAATGTGATAGATATTAAGTAATGTGTTCATCATTTCTCTGGAGGAGAAAGGTAATGCTTTCAGTCATAGACTGATTCCAACAAAGAAACAGAAAGTTATTTTTGTTAAGTACTGAAAAGTATACTGTGTACATATTGTATGTAGAATTTGATTCTGTACAATCCAAATGACAATTAATAAATAAGTCAGTTCACTAAGATGTATAAAACAGGCCAAAAACTAGTGACTATAAGTTTAGGGAAATGAATTTAATATAGCAATATCTCTTCAGTCATGACAGAGTTTATTGTTTTATGCCAGATTTGAAGTTGGCACACAATATTTACATCTTTAAGCATACTTAAATTTATTTTTTTCCTCTTGTTAAAATACAGATATCAAAAATGTAAATATTTGTAAATGTCAACTTGAGAGCATACAATGTTGGAGGGTGTGACAGCTCTCACCATGTGGCTCTAGGACTCCCTCCTTGCCAGCATCCAGGCATATGCCCAGCCCAGTCCAAGCATCTTTCAGCACAACTTTGTACAGTAGTTGTTTTTTTAAGTCTTCTGCATCCAAAGATGTTGCTTGTATAATATGATCAGATTTAGGTAATTGAGCTACATGTTCCTGGAGCAAACAAATGAAAAGTCTTAGCAGTTTCACAAAATAAAACTCTGGTGTGGCACAAAGCTTTCCGATGATACTCTTACACCTGTTTAGATATTTAGTGCTGTAGTGAGGGAATAAATTTATCTCTTCAAGTTAACAATATGTTTATGTGTTGTACATCCTTAGAATTAGAGGGGGGGAATCAGTCTTGACAACACAAATCTCATGTTGTAGATTGATGCTTTGAGCATTTTTAAATTTTTTTTTTTTAAGTTGCAATATGTTTTAGTTGAAGAATATTCATTTGGTTTATGAAGTGCATCTGCTTGGGCTGGCACTGTACCTGAGATGCTTGATTTACCAGAGGTGTACTCGTTGGTACCACTGTGTCAAGGCTGACTTATGAAGTGTCACTGACTTTCCATGCTATAAGTTATGGAGGAGGAACTCAAGGTTTTATCTGTTGAGTAATAAAAGATAAATTTTAGCAGGATTTCCCTTTTTCCTTTGTATTAAATTTATATGGAATTCCCTGTTTCTTTCTGTTATTACTGATACTTTTTCTTACATGAATTATATTGATAGATCAAATGTTTGTGTGCAGGAGATAATTTTGGGATTTTCCATGTGGGGGGGGGTAGGGGCCTAACACACTGCACGCCTGCGTGTGTCTCAGGAACAATTTCATTAATATAATATAATTATAACAAATGTAAGCCATCTGAAAACTGTCTTTATCTAGTTACTACAATGAAGATAATCAATATGTGTAAGTAAAGTGAATGTGTGTAGGAAGGGAGGGGATCTGCAGCCTGATATGCACCTATTTGATCTGACAGTGATTGTTTGACCAGTTGTATAAAGTTTTTAATCATCAATTTTTAGTAAAAAAAAAAAAGGTATTTTTTTTTATCCTATGTATCACTCAGAGGTGTCATTATTCCATCATCTACACCTCAGTTAAGATGGGTTATCTACAAAATTAATGTGATTCATCTTGCATGTTTTCAGGCAACATTCACCATCGGGTGCACTAGAATATGGATTTAAATGCCAAGTTATAATAAAGAAGTCTCACAGGATTCTCACTGTTGTAATAAAATTATTTTCAATATTTTTGTTTACATCTTAAAAGTTATTACAGTTGAGTCTGGATTTACGCGGTTTTGGTTTACGCGTTTTGTAATTTATGCGGTGCCTTGCCAGAATTGAAATGCTTGATTTACGCGGTAAATTTGGTCATTTACTCGGAGAGCATCTGGTGGTCCTGCCGCGCCATATTTGGATTCAAACCTCCCGTCATGCTTGGGTAAGGGGGGCGAGTAGGTTGCGCAGTGTATGTCTCTGTTGCGTTATTGGTGACGTCATATGACGTATCGGACTGTGATTGGGCCACGCATCCTTACCTCCCTCCACCGCTAGCTGTGATTGGTTTAATGTAATATGACATACCCTTCCACGGGAGGGAAGAAGGCGCTTGACCTAGCCGCGTCAGTTACTCTCCTCCCAGTCACTCCGTGTAAACTGTGTTCTATTGTTCCGATAATCTCGTAAGAATGGCTTCCACTGGACCCCCACCACCACAGAAAAACCTTGCATTACCTGGACCCAGCCGCCCTAAGCCAAAGAAGATACGACGTGCCCTAAGTTACGAAGTGAAGTACAAGATCATACAAGATTTAGAAAAAGGAACGAGACAGGTTGATTTGGCGCGCCAGCATGGCGTGAACGAATCTACGATCAGGACGATCAAGAAGGATGCAGCCAAGATAAAAGAACACAGGAACATCACAAAGTCTGCAGGTGCTTCAATGGTGAAGTACTGCCAGAACAAAGTGCTGCTCAAGACGGAGAATTTACTTGCGAGCTACTTGATTCGTCAGGCAAGACGGAACATGGCAGTGGACACGCGGTCTGTTCAAAAGTACAGTACGCATGTGAACAGTACGTAGCAGTGGCACGTAAGATGGGAATTGCAGAGCCCAAACCCTTCAATGCTTCCTCTGGGTGGCTGCAAGGGTTTAAGAAGAGGAACAAGATCACCAACATTAACATTGGTGGTGAAGGAGCGAGTGCTGACCGTGTTGCGGCTTGTGATTTTCCTCCATTCTTACGTGACGTTATGGAGGAAGGACAGTACACTGACGACCAGTTGTTCAACACGGATGAATCCGGTCTGTTTTGGTAAAAGCTACCTACCAAGACCTTCGTTGTCAAGTCTCCCAGCAAGTGGGGGGGCCGGAAGTTGCAGAAGGAGCGCATCACTGTCCTGTTTACCACCAATGCCTTCGGTACCTGTAAACTCAAGTTATCGGTGATCCACACAGCCCGCAAGCCGCATGCCTACAAGAACATGGACATGACCAAGCTAAATGTCCACTGGCTAACTGCACATAAGGCGTGGATGTTCTCTGCTCTGTCCCTCTCCTGGTTTGACGAATGTTTCGTTCCCGACGTCAAGAAATTCTGCAAGCAACAGAATGTTCCATTCAACATTTTGTTGCTCCTTGACAACGCACCAGGACACTCGCCCCTACTGTTGGATCGTCACCCCAACATAAAAGTGGTCTTCCTTCTTCCCAACATTACGTCGTTAATCCAGCCCATGGACCAGGAGTTAATATGCAACGTTAAGGCTGCATTCTCTACAAAGAAGTTTAAGCTCCTGAACGACTGTACCAACACCAAGGATGAGTTGTGTAACCTGGGTGACACCGAATGTGAGAGCGACGAGGACGAGGAACAAGAGTTGGTGGATCAAGAAGTTCACGTCAAACAGTTTTGGAAGAAATTTAACGTCAAGAAAGCTGTTGATTTCTTGGTGGAGGCATGGGATCAGCTGTCTGTAGCAACGATTCGTCTCGCATGGCGGCATGTGTTGCAAGGTATCCCAGGTGGGAGGCGGAGTCAATCTGTGACTGGTGAGGTTC